TCATCAGGGAAAATTGTACTATATTCAGTTCTACAGGCTAGAATAGAGAGAACCTTGCTCTAAAGAACTTACAATCAAAAAGAAGAGGATGAGAAGAAACGACAGAGTAGAAGAGGGAAAGGTGTGTGAAAGAGGAAGGCCAGAGGGTACAGAATATTGTCTTAATGCCTCCAGCACTAACCACTGAACAGCACTGTGCCTGACATAGACAAGCTGCTGAGTACATTCATACAAAGAAGTGGAAAATGTTCCTTTCCATACAAAGGAGAGAAAAAGAACAATCAACGTCAGTTTTCTTCTTAGAAACAGGCATGAATGCCAAACTGACAAAAACAGTACAAGGACCACAGACATTGGTACCAAAGGACCGCTCACCCTGCACAATTACAATCCTGTGAGTAGGAAGGTGGAGCTGTGACCCATCCCATCACTTGTCCTCCATGGAGGGTTAATATCTGCAGCAGAATCCATTCTACTTTAGAACCTGCGGAGTTCTAATTCACATATGCGCCTGCATAAGTAGAGGAGGCCCCCTGCTGCAGACACATGGAGGTGGACGGAACTGATGGAAGACCATGACGCTGGGTGTGTGGCTGATGAGCCCACGCCTGCCCTCCTCAAACGATTCTAATCATGTACATGTAGGGTGAGCACATGGGCCTGACAGGGGAAGCCATATATTTCTTCACTTTTGGTTGTTGTTTCCGATCTTGGGTATTTTGTATTTCTCTATTGCATGGCCATAAACAAGGCACTGTATTAAGAACAACTATCTAGAAACAGCTATGGGAAAATTAAGCTTCCATTAAATACATTGAATGTAAGTTAAACAAGGAAATTCCAAAATAAGCATTCCAGGTCAAAGTAATCCTGCAAAATCTTCACTCATATGGAAGATCTATAACTTGTGCACTTATGGAACTGCCTGTCTGTTGCTCATTGCTTTAATAAGAACAGCCTGGTGGTGTATAGCAGCAAATCAAACAGAAACAAATTGTTTTTTATAGCTCTTTAAGAACACATTCTGTAAACATAACAACACATTTTTCTTCTAAATATAATGAATTATGTTAAGCAAATTAAATGTAAAATTACATCAAATAATTTGCATTAAATCTAATAATTGGCCTTCTTAAAATGGAGATTTTCTGGCAGTTCCAGTTATACCCTAACTCCTATCCTGAAAATTTCATCAGGTCAGAATGTGCTGATTCCCTGGTTTTCAATCCCATACTTACATTTCTCATATCAGTATATCATCATGTGAATTTATTGCAACACTGTAAAGCAATCCCTATAAATGATTTAGCTATGTTTTGCTTTGGATCAAATGGCAAAACATTAGTGTGCACTTTGCAGATGGGGTGCAATCTTTCCTTTAAAGAGTTGTCATGGCTCTTCTCTGAAATTCACAAACAGAAAGATAATGTTGTCAGCAGTCCATCATCTCCTGCATTGTCCTATCATGAATCCTTTTTGAAGATCAAATCACTGAAGCGCATTTGAAGTAGTTCCCGCACCAGTGTGAAAACTATCTGTTTGATCTTGAGCAAGATTTTGCCTGCATAAAACCACATTTTCATCTCTTCCCTTCTGCAGTGAGTGGGAGCTGTGTAAGAGCTCCAGCGGTGTTTTTATAGAATTTCCATTCATTTCAGTGAGTCTTTCATAAAAGAGCTTCCTTTTCAAATTGTGGTTTTATTCTTTTATCTTGAGCTGCTGTAAAGCCTTGCTGAAAATGAAAAATAACTTGGAAATGTTCTAAATCAGGCATGGGGAACATGCAGCCTATTGGCCATTTGTGCAGCCTCCTCTTTGCTCCGCACCCCTCCTGCCAATGAAGCCAATGAAAAGTCCACCACCATTGCAAGTGTAGCCTTGGAGCCTTGGGTTCCTGCCAGCCCAAAAACATTGGCAGAAGCCCAATGCTGTGGGGAAAAAAGGGTGTGCAACATGTTGCCCTGCATGCAATTTTTCCTTGGAGAACTCCTGATGTTGGGCTGCAGTGAAGGCCCCCTTCCCACCAGAGAGAACTTCAGCAACATCACCATGATGGGGAGAGCTTTAACCTTTAACCTGATGGCTCCAGAAAGAACAGGAAAAACTCCTGGCTGAAACCCTGAGCAGTTGTTGCTGGTCAGGTTTGAGTGTCCTGGGTTAGATGGACAAGTGAAGTGGGTAAATAAGGGATCCTCTGTGTTCTTCACCCTCATCCCAGTGATGCTGCTCCAGTGATGCAGTGATGCTGCTCCACATTTTCCTCCAGCAATAGATTGGGAAGGGGAGTAAAACTTACTATGTGGGTCATGCAAATGACCTTGCACATGTGCATCTGCTGGTGTGCAGCCCCTGACCATCCACTGAACGTTCCATGAAGCTTTTGGCACAAGTTAAGTTGCCTATGCCTGTTCTAAATGCAACAAGTAAGTAATTTCACCATTAGAACTGATCAATAGCATCTGCTTTTAATGAACTGTAGTGAAAATGTTTTAATGGATTTTTATTGTATCCACTTTGTGTGGTTTTCATCTTGTGTACCCCCTGGAGAAGATTCCAACCTTACGGAAGTCTAGAAATAGTTTTAAATAGATGATAGGTAGCTTAAGTGTATACATGTCTGCTCAAAAATATGTCCCATTGAGTTCAGTAGGGCTTACTCCTGAAAAAAAGTCTTTAATCACATCTCTGCATATGAAGGCAATATATGTAAAAATATGTATCAGGTTCTATTTCAGAAACACCATAGTATGTATGGCCATTATCTAACATTATTTAAGGAAACCAACCAAGGTGCTGTGCCATATCAGGAATAGCTGTTTTTATTTCCATAGGTCCAAAATTGTTTTCCAATGAATATCCACAGCCTTTCCACATTGCTTCCTGTGGGCTTGAGCTCAGGGCCAACAAGTTACACAGTTGTTATTTTTTAATCATTCACTTCCTTACTCACTTTGCCCATAACTCTGGGATGCCAATGCACATGCAGAGCCCAGTTTACAGGAGTACAAAGGGCCATACAGAGTATTTGCCATGAGGTCGCTCAACACTACAGCACGTGCAATTAATTTCTAAAAAGGAAAAACACTGAAATTCAGGTCTCCATAAAAGCTGTCATGCATTTGGACCTGAAAGCACAGTCTTCCTAAGCCCAGATAGGTGAGGGTTGGTTGTGGTTTCTGCAGAAGAAAAAATGAATCACGATTCTTGAGGAATTGCTATGGTGGTGCTTTGGGATTCCCCATTTATTAGAGATGAGCTGAAAGTGCCATTCAGCCACTTCAGGAAATAAAATACGTCCCAACATTTTGCTCTCTAATGAGCCTCACAAATGCCATATTTTGATCCAGCCATGAGCTACGGCTTCCTCTTCCAGATGATTTACATTTATGGATAGACTGAAGAGTTCATGGGCACCTCTGACAGCTTTCTAATTTTTTTTGCTATGGAATTAAAATGCAAAGACATATTATGCCACCCATAGGTCTCATTAATGACAGCATGATGATAGCCTGACATTGAGGAAATTGCTCCCCAAGACTTCCTCACTTCCTCTTAACCATTTTTCATTTTTAGAGCAGCTGGGCAGGAACAGGAAGCTGCACAACATGTGGAATAAAGCCCACATATCCTCACACCTGCCTTATATTACATCAGACCCAGTGGACCAGCAAATTCAGGACTGCCTCCTCCAGCTATCCCCAACCCTTTATGCTCTGCCAAAAAAGAGGGGATGCATCATTCAAAACAAGACGAGCACCCCAATTTGCATAAAATCTCCATATGCTAATATACACATAGGAGTGTGAATTTACAAATAGTTGCTATGATTTAAATAGATATATGTTCATGCTACTGAGGTACACTGTGACCTGGTGATCTGTGTGTCTTCTCAGTAGGCTATCCCCTGGCTGTGAATCATTAAGGGGAAGCTTTAGGATGGCTCTGGTTCTCCCCTCTTATGGGTATTCATCTTCAAACCAGACTTGGGCCAGGCAGACCTTCAAACAGTGGACTGTCCTTTAACAGCCTTTCAAGTAGAGGACCATCTTCTATGGAGAAGGGCACTCTATCTTCTATAAAGAAGGGCCAATCTAACATGAGAACATCTACATATGTTGGACTGCAACATGTGTTGGCCAGTCATCATGGACATGCTGCCTAGGAGAGTTACAGTCTAAGACATCTGAAAAACACTGTGGAGGAAGGTTTGTCTGCTTTTGTGGTCGGTTGCTCTCAAAGAGGTATCTTTCCAACGCTGCTACCTGAAAACGCTATTTCTAGACTGGGATACCTGTACTTCACAGCTGTCCTTCTCCTCTCAAGCCATCTGAAAAAAGGGATGGATTTCTTTTTGAAATTAGGCGTAAGTCCCCTTTGGTTACCTAAATAACTTTAGAAATGGAGTGGCAACAAATCCACCTCCCCACCCCCCAAAAAAATCATGTAAAAAGAATTTCCCCCACGTACAACTTTCTCAGCTTCCATCAAGGTTGTGCACACTGTTCACTGTGCAGTCACTGCAACAGTTACTTTTCTTGTGCTCACAGGTTGTCTCCAGGCTCACGTTCACAAGGACAAATGTAGTGTGAATGCAATGATCATTTGGTATCACCATCTGCTTTGTCCCTCAGTTAGAGCAAACAGAAATAAATGGTGTGGTAATAATGAAAATTTCACAATGTTCTCACATCAAACTTGTCCATTGGGGCACATGTCCAGATATCTTGCATATGCAAGAAACAGATTATGATACTGTAAGTATAAGATTTCCTGTAACAATTGTTTGCTATTTACAATTTCCACAAATCATGCCATGGATAATGTGAATGACATACCACTCAATATGAAAAAGTATACTAACAAGATCCACTGCTTTACTAACATTATTGACCAGCAAAAAAAGTACCGGGAATGTTAGATCCTCACACTTTTTCTAAGAGCATTTTTCCAGGACCTGGTGTTATAAATTAACTTTTTTCTTTCCTCCACAGGCAACTAGATGTAAATCACATCATTCAGAGTAATACATCCAAATTCATCCATTTGTTTTGTAACTGTTCAAGTTAAACCACTATGAACTTCTACTTGACAGAGGTATGATAGAGGCTAATCTAACACACACTAGTTAGAGTTGTAACCTCCTACTTGGATTGATCCATGCTTTGTGGCACTGGAAACCATTTGGAAAGATAGTCCAAAATAAGGCTACCTGCAAGATTATTAACTGACCAGTTCAATCACTTTATGCCAGTGACCTCTGTTGGCTGTCTGCCAGTCCATTTCTAGTACTGGTTTGAGTTCTAGGATCAGTTCAAATTGTTGCCATTAAATTCCACCTGAAAGGAATGCTTCCTTCTCCTCCCCCTTTTATATAAGGACATGGCTTCTCCAATAGATACCTATCCAGACCCTGAAGTCTTCTTCTGAGGCCTTTCCCAGGTACCCCTGCCAAATGAAGTAAGTCAGGTAGTTACTAAGGAAAGGTCTGAAGGGTATTGTTAAAGAGGGGCCTGTCCTAGCTATTTGTCGATTTTCCTGGTCTTAGCCCTGCCTGTTCAGGTCAGTGTTGGATAACTATGTGCCCCTGTCTCTTTGCGTGGGCAGAACTGCAGTCCTTAAAGTGATGATGAAGGAAGCTGATGACCCCTGGCCCATAAGGGACTTCAGCAGTGAGCTGATTTCCCTGGGGTTGGATATGAAGCTTTGCATGTGATATTGACACTGAATAGCCAAACTCTTAGAATTGGAATCTTGAGAGGATGTCACAGTCATAGAAAGGAAAATATTACATTCATTCTTTGATCTTTGGAAGATCTTTCTGGAGTGCCTTGATCACAGTTACGTTGTTCCAAAGCAATATTCTGCCACCTACTTGGGTGCAGGGGTTGTCTAGGTCACTTATGAGTAGAAAGGTTCACAGCAGACCTGGCATAGTTGGGTCTATGAATATCAACATGTTATTTGAGCAAACAAAGAAATTCCAGGTCACTAAAGAAGTCAAATTTCCCACTAGGTAGTTCAAATCATGGTTTCAAATCTCTTGCTTTGGCAAACATCATCCCATTTTTAAATGGGCCCTTTCAAATTTAGATCCATCTCAGAATGGGGCTTGTCCTCCATCGCTACCACTTGTTAATGCTCCTTTCTGGTCTCACCCAAGCAAAAAGTAACAGAGAAGGGTGGGTCTATGGCTGCTATCAGGGATGAGTACTTTCTTGTGACCTGAAAGAGCATTTCTGAATCAGGTGAAAAGGTAGCTGTAATACATTCCGTGCCAATACATTCCGTGCCATCATTTCCTGTTGAGAGGAATAAGATCGAAATTTTCATCACCTGCTGATTCAATTGACTTTTCATTTCTGGTCATAATGGTTAAGTTAAATACATTTTTCCATTTGGAATAATGGGGAAGTTTCCCATAGGCATATTTTCCTTTTCTGAAAATGTTTGATTAGTTGGTTCCACTTTGCAAGTTATAAGCATGAATGTACCAGTGGGCATGAACCTATAGGCATGTACTTGCCGAATTCCCACAATTTCATCAATGAGACAGTTGGGCACATGTTTAACAATTCTATGTCTACTCAGAAGTAGGTCCTTGTGAGATTAATGGTCCTTACTCCGAGGTGATTATAGAATTCCAGATTAATTCTTTCCTGTTGAAATAACTGACCTAATTTTCATGATCGCTGCAATCAACCACAACTTTTCATGTCACCCAAACCCAGTGAGGGTACTTTGTTGGGATGATAACCAACCATCCCACAACACTACAACAGGCCACAATTCTGGATGATGTGTTAACCATCCCAACAAGCCACACTTTTTGGATTTGGACATCATAACGACCTGAGATCAGCAAGGGCAATTAGGGTAATGAGGCAGCATGTGACCTCCACATGTGGGAGTGATTAACCTGTAACAAGTCATAGAATCATACAGTTGGAAGGGGCCATGAAAGCCAACAGGTCCAACCCCCTGCTGTTGTAGGACACAAAGTTACATCATCTAACTCAGATGGCTGTCCAGTTTCGTTTTGAATGTGTGGGAGAGCACATAACCTATCTAGGGAGCTGGTTCCACTGTCGTATTGCTCTGACAGTGAGGAAACCTTTCCTGATGACCAGCCTATATCTGGGTTGTCACAGCTTGATCTGATTATTCCATGTTCTGCACTCTGGTATCAGCCAAAGGAGATCTTGACCTTCCTCTTTGTGACAGTCTTTGAGGTACTTGTAGAGTGATATCATGTCTCCCCTCACTCTTCTCTTCTCAAGATTGAACATGCCCAGTTCTCTCAATCTTTCCTCATAGGGCAGTGTTTCAAAACCCTGGATCATTTTTGTTGCCCTTCTCTGGACCCTTTCAAAGTTTTCTGCATCTTTCTTAAATCTTGGTGCCCCGAACTAGACACAGTATCCAGATGAGGTCTGACTAGTGAGGAGTATAGGGGAACTACAACTTCTTATGATTTGGAAGTAATACTTCTGTTAATGCATCCCAAAATTGCATTTGCCCTTTTGGTGGCTGCATCGCATTGTTGGCTCATATTTAACCTATTGCCCACAATTACTCTAAGATCTTTTTCTTTCAGTTCTGTTGAGTCATGTATTCCTCATCTTGTATTAATGCATTTGGTTTCTTTTTCCTAGGTGGAGGACTTGGCACTTGTCTTATTGAATCTCATTCTGTTGCTTTCAGCCCAGTGGTCAAGTTTATCAAGATCGCCCTGGATCTTTATTCTGTCTTCTGGGGTGTTTGCTATACCACACAGTTTTGAATCATCTGCAAATCTGATTATCTTTCCTTATACTTCCTCATCCAAACCATTAATAAAGATGTTGAAGAGCACTGGGCCCAGGACTGAACCCTGTAACACCCCACTAGTTACTTCCATCCAATTTGAGAAGGTGCCATTGATGAGCACTCTTTGTGTCTGATTCAGCAGCCAATTTTGGATCCACCTAATAGTTTTTCTATTTAGTCCAGTTTTTACTAATTTGCTTATCAGAATGTTGTGGCGTAGTCAACCATATCTTATTAACCACACTTGTATCATTCAGACTGGGTCAATGGGATTGAATCCTAAATTTGGTGGTAATGTAATTATGCACACAAATATATAAACATCATGCAGAATGACTGCTGTGAAAATAATGTTCATAACTATGCAATTAAACAACAAATGATTTAAATTCATGAAAATGATTTAAATTCAGGAACCATGAGTCACCGTGTTTTGGGATACCACATGTTTTGCTAACATATGGCAGACACTTCTAACGTTGTGGTCATGGTGGGCATGGCTAGTAAATTATGGTTTAGGATTGAACTAACCAGTTTAAAATGTCATCAGACCAAACAAAAACCAGAAACAGAGAGAGAGAAAGAGCTATAAGGAGGAACATAAAGTAATAGTGTTGAATCAGAGTTCTTCCTAATGAGATAACTAAACCATAGCCTTTAAATACCCTTTGTGGGATCTGGTTTTGATATTCTCCTTAAACCATGTATGCATCTAATTTCATTCCTCATTTTATGAATTCATATGCTATTCTATTTCCTGTATGGTTAGTAAACATGCCAAAATTGATGCTGTATGAAGTCCTGAAGATGTTCATGTCCAAGACATATTTTCATGCGGGGAGGAGAGTTAGATTCTAAATTTGACTTCTACATTTCAGAAGATACCAAAAGACATTTGGCTCAGATCCTTTCCAAGTTGGGGAGTTTACTGCACAAGATCGACAGACAAATAGAGAAGTGTAGTCATATTTTTGGAGTCCTGGGCTTCGATCCACCTAAAAGCAAAAAGGTAATAGCTTTAGCAGTTTTAAATCAAATACTGTTGGAAAGACGTATAAAAAGTATTTCCTATTAGAAATGTTTTCTTGTTGGCTAAACTTCTGCAGACTTTATTAAAGGAGGAGGGAATCAGACTGCTCATTTATACAGAAAAAAGAAAAGAAAAGTCATCCTACAAAATCAATATTCTGATCTTGAGATACTGCTCCACATTTACGGAAAAAGTTGTAATACAGATTTCCTTTTGAAGTGGCTATTATAATTGTTCAGTACGAGTTAATCATAAATCCTTCTTCATACTAATGACTCTGACCTTTGATCAAGATATACAGCTAGAACAGCGCTGATACTTGGGAGTGAATGACTGCCCAGGACTAGTCCTAGATAAAGGTAAAGGTTTCCCCATGAAATTAAGCCCAGTCGTGTTTGACTCTAGGGAGTGGTGCTCATCTCCATTTCTTAGCCAAGGGAGCCAGCATTTGTCCATGGACAGTTTCTGTGGTCATGTGGCTGGCATGACTAAATGCCAAGACTGCAAATGCTGAGGACAGTGGAGTAACATCCTAGCTCTTGCCCTCTGTTAAGAGTTGTCTATGCCTCATAGCCTGTCCTGGACCCTGTGCTCTTCAGGTGTGATAGAGGATGCTATCCTGATGCTAGTATTGAAATAACACTCAGTGGCCTATTCAGTTGGCTTCTGCACATGGAATGGGAGGGGCACTCTCTTATCCTTCACTTTAGGTGGCAAAATATCTTGAGCTGATCCTGTGATCTCCAGAAGCAGGGAAAGGGGCAGGCCAGAGCTGCACTTGGTTGCAGCAGGAGATGTTGAGAAAGTCTGGAAGCTGCATCAGGGTCAGAAAGGCAAAGCAGGATATCTACTTAAAATAAGAAAAGCAGTTCTGGAGGTGAAATTTCCAGATCAGTCCAGTCCACAGTCCAGCAATGGGCAAGCAGAGTGGGGTTTGCTGCAGAAGCAGGTGCTCATGTGGATGGGTGTAGTACTCAAGGAGTGGGGCCAGCTGGCATAGTATAGTGGTTGAGGGACTAAGCTACAAATTGGGGAGCCCTTGGTTGCAATCTCAGCTTTGCCATGAACTCGCTAGGTGGTCGTAGGCAAGCTTCTTTCTCTCATCTCCCTCTGTCTGCAGTATGTTAGCAATTAATTCAAAGTAAGATGGACATCTTTGTATTATTCATGTCACTTTTAAAAACAGCTAACATACAACTCCCAAGAAATCCCAAGATTAACTCCCCATTCCACTCTCCTATACTCCAGCCCCAACCCTAATAAAGAAAAACAGCCTGTGCCCTCTCTTCAAAGAACGTTGTGTTGTGATATCCAGTGAAGCAATGAAATCTAAGGCAAGGATTTACACATAGGTGCTTCCAGTAAGTCTGCTAGTTTTCTGACAACTCTGTGCTGTTAATTGTCCTTTGACTGCAAGTCCATCCTAATGTTTACTTCATCATTTAAGAATGAAAAGTTTCTCAAAAAAATTAACTACACAACTGTGTCATTGTGGCATTTAGCAATGTTACTTGGTGATGTACATGATATTCAAAGGTCATAAATCAGTTGGGAATCTGTCTTTTCAAAAGAATTGTCTTCACTGAACCACTTACTACAATCCACAGTATGGAATACATTAGCTCATTTCTCTCAGGGTTCCATGCCATACCGCAGGACCAAGAATGCTATAAACATCAGACTTGCGTGCCTTCAGGAGAAAAAGCTGCACAGCACCCTTCATGCTCCAGTAAAATCAGAAGCGCATCTAATTTTTGTTCACAATGTTGCATACCTGATCATGGCAGCCAATGTTGGTTCTTTTAAGAACTTTGACTATTGGAGGAACTAGCCTGGCCAACTTTTTCACAGGGCAGGCAGATGTGAAAGCCACCATGCATTGGGAGCGATTTGTCAAATTTAGAACTTCCTTCTACTTTTATTATAAGAACAAGTTTCACAATAGCCAGATCATATGTCACAATGATGTTCTTCTGCTGGCATTGCTCAGCTATTCTGTGGGGTCTTTAATTGTTTCTGCCACAGCCAGTAGTAACGTTTGGTACTGGCTGAATTGTGGGAAATTCCTGGGGGTTTTGACAGGAAAGCTAATCCAACAAAATGTTGGAATTCCAGCCTGTGCACATTGACACTCTCTGTATTAAATGCTTGTGTCAAGGAAAATGAAATCTTCATAACTGTCCAGAATTACAGATCTTTTGTTATTACCAGGTGGTACAAATCTACTCCTTAGTAGTTTTGGGGTACTTCCAGAAGGTTTATTAGGAATCACCCTGCATCATCCATGGACTTTTACAGCAGTTTCACATGGTGTCATTTGCCATTTCTAACCCTTACTTGCTTTCTTACCTTTTTTCCATCTTTTTTTCCTTTCCACAAAACATCCTTTAAGGAAAAGATGGAACAGCTGCTCAATGCTAGGAGTCATCCATTTGGGAGCATCTCCTCTTTCCTCTCCTTCTTTATTGATTTATCTTGTCAGGCAAACAATTGGAATAAGCTCAAACATTTTAAGAGCAAAAGAATATACTGGATTTTATCATTGGTGACTTTAGTAAAGTGTCAACAATTTCTATTTCTCAGGGTTCCCATGCATTTTGGAAACAGATGCCATCTGCGCTATGAAGAGTCCCCTAAATGATTCAGATGATGGTAATTGATTAATTAGTTTGTTCAATTTTGTTTTTCAAACAGTTGACTCTATGTCCAGTAAGTTTAGGAAGATCAAGGATCTTTTCTATTGCTGGTGACACTTTGCAACACCAATTGGATTTTTTAAATGGAGTTACATGTCCTTTTTACAACATACACATCTTGGTAAACCGGTTTTATGTAAACTGTCTTGGATTTTTTTTTTAAATAAAGGTCAGTATATAGAAATCTTTAAAAAAATCAATACAAATAAATAAAACAGTGATGTGTGTCTCCACCTCGCACCTGTTAATGACATCATCCCCTAGCACTCTTGCCGCTCTCTGGGTCAATGAATTCTTTATTATCTCAGTAGAGTAGAAATGGTTATGACTCTGATCACATAAAATAGTTTGATTTGGGAGTAAGCCCAGGTAAAGCAGTCAGGTTCTATATTTTAAGATACAGGAAGATGTCCTCTACCAAATGGCACCAGTTTCAGCCACATACCCTAAGACATCATTAATGGTCCCCTTTTTGGAGGGGCCAGAAAGGGCCTACTTCCCAACAAAATTGGTCAATCTGGAGAGTCAGGAATTCTATGCACTCTTCTCCCAACAGATGATGCTTGCTTCAGCCACATACCTTGTGACATAATTATTGGCCCCAAAATAGTTAGAAACATAGAAACAGAGCGAGTCAGAAGGGGCCTCTCGGGCTAGTTGGCCAATAAAAGGTTGCCACCTAAGAGTTGTGTGTGACTGGCAGTTTTGGAGATGCTACCATTTTGTAAGATACCCAGAGGGTAAAACTTTTGTACTGTTATGGCAGAAGTATTTCAGACCAGGCTTTTAAATGCACCTTCATTTAGCTGTAGCTTTGAAGTTACTGTAACTCTGAAACCACTTTCACCATGGAGTCAGTTCTGGCCCTATTCCTGTGGCAGGGGGCCTTGCCTTGAAAATCTATTAAATTACATAATTTATCAAGCACATTCCTAACCATTTCTGTTTTTAATGACTAGGCCTGTTTCAAACCCTAGGCCTTCCCTAGCATTCCTGTGGCTTTCAGTCACTTACAGTATTCCCTTAGGAGTACATGTTTTGTGTTAACTTGTATCCTCATTTCTGCACTATTAAACAGCATGGCAGAAGGTGAAGATGCTGTATATAGTTATGGCTTTTAAAAAAATAATGTTCATTCCTTGTAACACTTTTCTTTGCATGTGGGGGTATTTGGTAAGTGGCTCTCCTGCATACAGTTAAAATAATTTTTGTGCAATGCTATTGTAATCTTTAACCTGTCATCCCAGACAATTAGAATATATTGGATTCTCCTCTCCTCTCGTCTCCCATCCACACTTGGCCCTATATTTCTCAGTTATTTTATCAAATTTCTGCGAAAACCAAGCTAGCACCTGTCTTTCCTGATCAGTTTTTTTAAAGAAAGAAAGAAAGAAAGAAAGAAAGAAAGAAAGAAAGAAAGAAAGAAAGAAAGAGATGGCAAATGCAGGTAGACATCTGACCTGGATTTTTCTGAGGGTAACCAATGAATTTGATACCTGTGAGAAGCAGGTCATGTCAGTTTTATCCGCAGGTGGCTTTTGCAGTATCAGCAGATTGCTAATATTACCAAAGGGTAGGGGGGTTTTCTGCATGAAGAAAAGAAATACATTAACAAGGTCTACATTAGACCAAAAAGGATACAATAGAGCAGTCACGTTAAGCCTCCTCTCTGTTTTTCTTATATCCCAAAGGTAATTAAGGCATTGCTAAATCATTTTGCCATTTGTATTCCCAGATAGGCAGAAAATCTTTTTTGGTAGAATTGGAAAGGAAATAAATGAAATTCAAGGGGAAACAAGTAAATGCAAAAATCTGGCTTGTTGTTCTTATACCTTCTAGCTGTACCTGGGCACTTCCAACACAGAGTGCTTGCAATAAACCATGACTTGAGGGAACAGAACAGCTGTGTGACTTGTCCTAGGGCTATTTTAGTACACAGACTTTGAACTCCCTAAGCACTTTCCTGTGCTCTTAAAATACTGTCTTAGTAACTACTCCTTTGCACATTGATGAAACAATTCTAAATAATATTTACGAACAATTACAAATCGAAGCCTCTGCCATAAGCTGTGTGCTGTGGGGAAGAAATGATGTAGCACCTTTCTTGAAGGATAGTATATCAGTGCTGAGAAAGACCTGGAAGAGGATTGAAGCCACAAAACATTATTATCAGGAAGATTCTAGAGGGTACACAATTGTTTATGGAATCATAAAGTATGCTAATATATTTCAGTCTCAAAAGTTGTGTTTCAGGGAAAGACTGAATGCCGTTACATAAGAAAAACATCAAACTAGGCTTGATTGCTGTATCTGCTGTCGCTCAGCAGAAGTGGATGACATGAATGAAGGTGGCTGTCCTTACCAGCCAACAAAAGAGCAGAGGGCACCATTGTAGAGCATGTGACTAATATTACCTCTTCCCAGCCTGCTCTCTATGTGTTATAAAGCAAGGATTATAATAAGGGTTTCTCTGCTGCTTTATCTTTCTGCTGTACAAAGACTGGTTGGATCTTGATGGAAGGAACTGCCACTCTAGAGTCGTATTGTATAGAGATGGCTGCCAGTCCTTTTTACACATAAAGGAAAATCTGAGGACTATTGTAACAAAAAAGGAACATAGCCAGAACAAATATTTATACTATTTCAAATCTTCAACATAATGACTTCTAAAATTACCAACCGGCTGTTTGGTTCAAGGTCAGACAGAAGAATTAGCTAGGCCCCTCTTCTCCTTTAGCTACCATCTCCTAATAGCACAAATAGCATCTTCTTCTTTGCTTTATACGCCTCATTCCCTCCACATAAGGGTGGCTAACCAATACATCTTTACTGGGCATGTGTTGACATTTCCTTAGTTCTTTAAAGATACTCATGTTTGTTTATTATTACATGTATATCTTGTACTTTGTCCTTCAAGGAAACCAAGGTAGCTTACATAGCACTCTTCCCTTTTCCCATTTTATCCTCACAACATTCCTGTAAGGTAGGTTAGGTTGAGAGTCAGTAACTGGCTCAAGGTCACCCATTGAGTTTCATGGCTCAATACGTCCCAAGTTCCACTCCAATACTATCTAACCATTTATGGCCCACATAATGTGGGCTGTACAATGCAACTACTGTGACAGTGTGCCTGGGCAGAGGGCTGCATTAGCCTGGAAATGATGGGTGCATCACCCACCAACTTGAGAAGAGGTTCATACCTGTGGAAACCACCGTAGGCTTACAGCAGCAGTGGAGAACTTGTCGTTCTTGGGCTACCATAAACCTTGAGCATTGGGGATAGCAAAATTTGACAAGGGTAAGAAAAAGAGTAGGGAATAGGAGTAAATGTATAAAGATTGTAAACTTGTAGAATGGATTGGGTGTTACTTTCATTTATTGGAGAGCATGTAGCTTCTGCTATGAATGATGCTGAAGCAATTTATCAAGGTTTGGTGGAAGGGAAAGGAAACCAAAGGGAAAGGGTTTGGGTAGTATGAGCTGGGTGGGGAAGTCCATAGCAGGTTTCCTCTAAAAGAAATTACATGCCTAGCTCCAGTCTGGAATACGCCCAGCTTTTACATGTGTTCCAAATCCATAATTAGTTCTTCTTAATCAATTGTTTTTTTGCAATACATGCCCTGTCTTCTTTCAGAAGAGGCACAGAGCCAAAAGCTTTACTGCATAGAGATAATTCTCTATAGCCCCTAAAAAACAAAGACAAAAAACACCGTATTGGAAAGATTCCTTCGGCTTTGCTGGACCCACAGCCACTTCCATCTATTCATGTGGCTATTTAGAATGCTCGTGCTTGGCAAGTGTGGGGTCCAGGACATCTGCTTTATGGTGTGGATGAAGCTCACAAGGGACCATTCTGGCTGTTATGGCTAGCAGCTGCAAGACGAGGCAAGGCAGCAGTTCAGCAGGTTTGGGCAGAGCGAAAGGACAGCCTCAGCCTGTCTGTGAGCAATATGTTGCTGAGAGTGATGAGGCAGATTAGAACCTGAAGGTATATATGGCCAAATTGGATCTTCTTGGCTCCTAAAGTCACCTGATTCTGCTGGGCTGAAAGGCATCCGTGCACACTCCAGCCATCCTCAGCAGTGTCTCAAGAGCTTCAGAGAGCAGGCCAGTAGCTTGTCTGACTGCCAGATCCTGCAAAAGAACAGGCAGCCTTCAATAACTCATATGACTGGTCTTTGGGGAGAAACTTAAAAACAAATTTAAAAAGCCATGCATCAGCATGGGAAGAAGGCAACATGCTGGGCCGGTGAAATCAGGCTTCACTGTGATTTCTATTGCTCAAGAACAGTTTGACATTAAAAGAGCAGAAATCAACTTCTATAACCCAAAACTGTCCCAACTCCAACTAGCCATTCCCATTTACTCTTTGTCAAGGCTAAATCCTCTTTCCTATTTGAAGAATGTGACACGTTTTCTTCAACCTCCTGAAAAGGATAGGTTTCCTGCAGGGACTAAAGCTGTCTACTCCCTGTGGTTTTAACAGTTAGGTGCGCATACATTCTGGCCTTGGAGCAGTGCATCTTTAAATGCTTCCTGAACATCTAGACCTGGATGCATTTGTTTTCATGCTCTCCCAATATTAGCATATGGTGCACTAATGCAAATGAAGGGGTAATATTGACCAATCCTGTTTCTGTACAGCTTTAGTAGTCATCTCCATTCCCCTCAAGTACATCTGTGAGATCATCCTCTTGGGAGTGGCTGAAAAATGTTTTGTTTGTTTTTTCTCATTCTTGTATGAATGTATGTTTTTAAAAAACCTGTTATGCTTTGGCAAAACTTCCAGGGCAGTTTACAAACCAAGATTAATGACAAAACGTGTGTGTGTGTAAATAGATATATAGATGTTAGATGTATGTAAGTATTTGACAGCTTCTTCTCCAGTCCTTCAGGGCAGATTTTCAGGAATACAAGGGAGTGCATAAGAATGAGGAATCAGTCCAAGTTGCTTTTCCATCACTTTCCACTGGCTGAAACTTCTTTTGAGCTGAGAAGATCTTCTCCACTCATGGGATGCTCCATACAGCAGACAAGAACCTAGGATCCAAGCCAGTATAGAAAGGATTCCAATGACTGTGCAATACAAAAGTGTAATGAAAAAAGCATCTACAGTACAAACTCCAAAATCACAGATATATTAGTTTAATCCCATATGTTTGTAAAATTTCCATAGAAGAAGACCAAACATAGTAAGGAGATTCCACTTGTCTACCATAGCTGATCTTACATGAAAATATTTTGTTTCTTCAATCTCTGCCATTTTTCCTCTCTTAGCTAATCAGTGCTTTAATCCAGGAGGGTTCTTGCTTCACCATTTACTGGGTATAAATATCTTCTAGGCTTATCCCAAAATAAAGATTCTTTATGATTTACTTTGATAGCCTCCTGTGACATCATTTACATGCACAGATGACCCACCTACCAACAGTGCCTCCATCTCATCTGGATCAAGCCTCAATTTATCAGCCTTCACCCATTCTATCACTCCATCCAGGCACTGGTTAGAATGGTCACTGTTATGTCGATAATCTGCACCCAGTCCTTGCTTCAGGTTCTTCTCCAACAAGTCTTTGGCACACAATCCTTTGCACAGCACTATTATAATCAGCAATCTTTAGAAACATAGAAACAGAGCGAGTCAGAAGGGACCTCCAGGGCCATCTAGTCTGACCTCCGGCACGAGCCGGCTCCGCTCACAACATGCCCACCATGTGGACGTCCAGCCTATCCTTGAACACCCGCACTGATAGGGCCTCAACGACCTCAGTCAGTTCCATCTGTAGCAGGTTCCAATACTGTATTACTGTGGTAGAGATCATCCCCTATCCTAATTGCATAGATTTCAGTCATGCATTGTTCAAACAGAAATCAATGAATGTGTTTAGGCCGACCTATAGAAATACTTATGTTGCACAGATTGGATGGTAGCACTATTCCATTTTCTGAATCATTAGAAACAAGGGGTCTTCACCACATTCAGTCCCCTGAAACAATGCAAAAGGAAAGTATTGAGTAACTTCAGAAAGGAAAATTTGTGGGCTCAGCTCCAAGTTATTTTGCTATATTTTTCTTGGACTATTTTAAAAGCATAGCCAGGAATGGCTATGCTTTGTTGTGTTTACTTAGTACATCACTTCCCCTGGAAGCCATAGAAAAACAACATTAATCAAAGGGGAGAAAACTGCTAATAAAGCTGCTCTCCGCTGGACAAATTGCATCAGTTTTGCAGGGCTAGGAGGTTGGTGCTTTGAACATGATCTTGATTTGCAAAATCTTGGTGTCTACAATTGCTAGCAGAAAGGCAAGCTTTCCATTTATCTCAAGGTTCCATCAGGTCATCTTTTACAACCCCAACAAGCCAGTTACTGAATGAACCTCTTTGGGCTTCACAAGGCTTTGAAAGCACACTTGCCGAGAGGTATATGGCATTTCCTATAGCCACATTTCCAAAGGGAATGTATACTCCTGCTACAAAGACATACTGATATGTCTGATTTTTATTATTTATACTCAAACAACCCAGTTAAAACCTCCATCATATAATACAGGCATCCAGTACAAACAAGCTATGATACAAGTTTACCAGTATAGAACATGACTGCAGTCCATTGCATGGGTGCATTTCAGTCAGGGTTCAGGCACGGAAACAGCTTTGGTAACTCTGTATGATGACCTGCGCCAAGACAGAGAAGTGGGGCAAGGCTGTAACTCCATCAACACTCTTGGACCTGTTGGCAGCTTTTGATCTCATTGGCCATAGGATCTTTCTGGGATGACTGTCTGAGTTGGGTGCTGGGGACACTGTGTTGCAGGGCTTCCATTCCTACTTGGATAACTTGTACCAAATGGTGGTGTCTGGGTAATATTGCTCTGTCCCTTGGACTCTCCAGTATGGGGCTCCTAGGGCATAACACGGTCCCTATGCTAATTAATATCTACATGAAACTGTGGAGTGGAGCCATCCAGAGTCTTGAAATGTGTTGTCATCAGTGTGCTAATGGCAAACCCGCTCTACTTTTCCTCTTCATCTTCATCAGGGGAGGCTGCAGATGTAATAAAGAGCCAGTGTGGTGTAGTGGTTAAGAGCATGGGACTGGGACTCAGGCGACCTGGGTTCTAGTCCCCGCTCAGCCATGGAGCCAACTGGGTGACTCTGGGCCAGTCACAGACTTTCAGCCCAACCTACCTCACAGGGTTGTTGTTGTGGGGATAAGATGGAGGAAGAGAATGATGTAAGCTGCCTTGAGCCCTTTGCAGGAAAAAGGCAGGAGATTAATCGAAATAAAAAAAATAAAAAAGTGGTGTCTGGGTGCAACAATGGACTGGGTGAGGACTAACAAACTGGACAAGACTAAGATACTATTACTGGGAGGTTCTTGTTACTGGATGGAGAGAATTAAACCTGTTCTAGATGAGGTTGCACTCCCTTGAAGAAGCAGGTTCCTAGTAGCTTGGGGTGCTCCTTGAGCCATCCTTGGCGCTTGAGACCTAGGCGACTTCAGTGGCTCAGAGTGCCTTCTACCAACCTCAGCAGTTGGCTCAGCATGCTCATATCTGGACATTGGTTTTAGAGGCTGTTTTTAGCCTATAAGGGCCTAAATGGCTTAGGACCACAATATCTGTTGGAACATCTCTCCCAACTGCAATCTACCCAGATGCTACAATTGAGATTTGGGGTCTGCCTCCAATTGTCACCTCCAAGGGAGACTGAGTTGATTGCAACAAGAGGAGGGGCCTTTTCATTGTGGTCGTCCAATTATGGAATAAGCTCCCCACTGAGGTCTGTGTGCTGCCAACCTTAATATCCGTTTGGTGCTAGGTTAAGACTATCCACCACAGGGCATTTAATTATTTTATTGGAGCTTTGTTAGCTGCTTAAACAGGTCTTTTGATTTAACTTGTATAAGCTATCATAACTTGGTATATGTGTTTTAAATTTGGTTTAAATATTTGTATGCTAATCTCTATTTTTAAAATGCTGTTTGTATTTTTGTTGTATTTTTATCTGTTGTAAAGTGCCAAAATAGCTTAGGCTGTTGGGAGGCATAGAAATTAAATAAATAAATAGTTCCCTGGGAGTAAGCACTACTGAACTCAATTATGTTTGCTTCTGACTGGGCTGAAATTGTAGCATGTGTGTTTTAGGGGAAGATCTTCAGGCTTAAATACAACCATAACTTTTCATTGAAAATGCAAGCACTTAGAAGCATTCCTGTTCAGCAACAGGCTCACATGAGACAACAACCCATTGTGAATTGTTACCCAAATCATTTGGAATGCGGTGCCAACCCCAACAGATTCACTTGGGGTGATTTCTTTGAAGACAAGCAACCTTGGCAGCCCACAGCTCATTCTAGGGATTGTTGTGTTGTCCCACCCTGGATGTCCGATCCCAGCATGACTATCAGAATCAGCTAGCATGTCACCCAGCAAGAGGAGCAATCCACCCTTGCCACTCTTCCAAAACTTCCCTGGAGAGCCACCAGTGACTCTTGGGAGTGGCTGGCCCAACCTTGCTACCCTTCCATTTTGGCTCCTGTGGCTTTTTTGCACATTAGCCTTTTCTTTCCCTGAAATCATAAAAGCTGGTTCGAGAGACCAGTTCTACAATCTCCATTCCTCTAGCCTACCTTCAAGGTATTGCCCAACTTAAGCTTCAAATTCACATAGCTGCCCAAGTGTATCCGCTTTAAAAAAAAAACAAACAAAAAAAACCAAGCCTATTTTCAGTGTGTTTTTTTTTAAGTTTTCCCAGTCACTGACAGTCCCTTCAAGGTGTTTATCAGGCACACTGAAGGGGTTCTTAATAGTTGTAGAATGGAATTTTGAAAGTGGCAGTGAGCCGGAAATTGCTCACAATTGTGTGCGTGGAGCGGGGGAGACGCGAGCTAGTCTTGCTGCAGTCCTGCTGCAGTGACCCCTGGGACACCTGTGGCCAGGCTGAGGGAAGTCCATGGTGAGCAATCCAGATTGCTGGAAAATTGGTCTTCCAGATTAGGTGGAGAACCTGCATGGGCAGAAGAGGCATTCTGCTCCACAGAGACACCCTCCATGTGTTAAGGACAATGAACTTGATGATGGAGAGGTTGGAGCTAACATGCTCCCCTTCCTTTGCTTCCACTACTTTAGATTGCCTGGCTTCAGACTTTGGCCTCTGTCATTTCTGACTGTGATCAGAGCGGCATAAAATAAAATTCTACTAGTAGTTACTCATTCCTTACTTTGCTTTTGCTTCCAGTCTTGCTGTGCCTTGATGGTATCTGACCCTTGCTTGTTCCTGACTTTGCTTTTGCCTCTGACCCTACCTCAATGCCAAGATCTCCACCCACCTCCATCATTCAGGGTCTTGGTGTTCTAGCCCTAGACACCTGCCCATGATCTGGACCTGTTAGGGGCTACCTTGACACATCTTTTTTATTTTGCTTGTGTTTTATGGTACAACATTATATGAGATACAATCAATAAATAACTATATGGTCTGGCAAGTCTATATATGACAACATAAATTTAGAGCTACATGTTCTGGCATGATCAAGTTCAGCAGGACAATTATTTTATCTTTTGTGTTCTCTCTGCAGCATTTGAAGGTTGATAGGCTTTGGAATATGAATGAATTTCTTCTCTTTGTCAGTAGCATTAAATCACAAATTTTCTGGCTTTCAGAATTGGCAAAATGATGTTGTTTACCTCTGTTCTCTTGGTTATGTCATCTGCAGAAAGAAATGACTGAATGCAGAGAGAAATTCTTCAAATAGTACATTTTTTCCTGAAACTATTGGTTAACCTCTAGTCAACCACAATTACATTTAATGAGAATAAGAAAATTATCATATTTTCTTGCTTACAGTACTATGGCACTGCCATTTGCCCAGAATTCTGAGTAACAGGATAAATGAAAACAGAATAGGCAAATACCAAATTCCAGAGTCCAATCCATGCTTAATACTTCTTTTGGATAACCATTCTCTTGCCAAACTATAGTATAGAGAAGTGAAATACTTTGTGATGACTTGCACTTTGCCTAATAGAAGCTTAACTTCTGGTTCCTTCTGCGAGGAACAGCTCAGTTCCCACTATGGAACTGGCCAACTGGACTTTAACCCATGAAGCCTGAATCTCCCCACAACTGTGGCAAATAGTTTACAACAACTTGTGTTTTAATAAGCTGTCAAGTCATATCTAACTTACAGTGACCCTGTGAATAACATCTCTCCCTGGTCTCTGACAGCTCTGCTCAGCAGGTGTAAACTCAAGGCTGCGGCTTTCTTTATGGAATTGAGCCATCTCGTATATGGTCTTCCTCTTCTTCTTCTGTCTTCAACTTCCACCATGATGGCCTTCTCTAGTGAGTCTTGTCTTCTCATGATATGCCC